CCGTATTAGAGGAAGCAACATGGATTGCTAGATGAAACTACAAAAAAAAAAGTGAATAGAAATGTCCCACAGCTCGATGTCTTTTTCTACCTAATCTCGAAAAATATCACTTTCTTCGAGAAAAAAAAAAACTCCCCTCAACTCATCTACATAAAAAAAGACATATGAAAGACACGTGGATAACACTGCCTCAGTTTTTTTTTTTATCACTACGGTACTTGTTTCACTGTCTGTTCGATGAAAACCTAAATTTCTTAGTTCCAAGTGAGCAAATACGTTAATCAATAAATACAATGGAATGAAATCAAGAGAAAACTCGCCGTGACTTCACATTTTTGTCCATTGATTACGTGAATTTTTCCATGTTCCAGACATTTATCTGCGGCAGCCTTGTTTTCAAAAACAACAAAACCAAGACCACGAGGATTTCCCAATATTTCAATCTGTTCGACCACGCCAAAACTGTCGAAGTACTGTCGCAAATCATCCACTGTGTGCCATGCCCAGTGAATTCCTGCAAAACGGGGTTTTTCAGCGAAATAATTTATACGCCATGCTGGTATATAAAGTGGTTGGAAAAATGAAAAACGATTTTCGTATTTTACCTGACAAAGACAGCTTACATCCGGGATCGGGTTCAATCTCCAGAAAAGAAGGCGGATGATTTGGTAACAGAGGTGACATCTGCTCACGTGGTATGGCACGTTTTGGATCCACCACCTGGAAGCAGGGGTACGTGAGAGAGTTTGATTTTTTTTTTCCAAAAATGCTGCATATCAAATGCGCCCTCCACAGTTTCCGTTTAACCACAGTTCGTGCTAAAATTTCTCGACAGCTTGTCAATTCATGTTATTTCAACAACTTTTTACGCATCTTCCATAACAAATTTACTCCATGACAGATTTATTTCATGCTGGTTCGAGTATTTCTCTTTGATGATCTGAATTCCAAAAGTACGAAGATTACAGTTTCCAAGAGATAACATATTTGATAAGTTAAAGACCTATCACAGCGGATATGAATGAATTCGAGTTCTCCCTCACTTTCAATCTTTTGCATCTCAGATTCCATCCAATGTTTTTCCTCCAGTGAAGTTATCTAATACGCGGTGCCCGCAGATTGTCAACCGAGTTTATAAATATTTTCACAAAAAGTTTCTGACGGATACGTTAACCTGCCCCCCCCCCCTCCAGCTGGTTTTCGTTCAGAATCCTGAAGAATCTCAAGGCTTTGTGTGTAGTAATACCCAGCATAATGTAAGCACGTTGGAGAAGAACACTGTACAGCTATTTCACGCTTCCTCTCAAAAATTCCGACATTTGCGATCATCAGAATGTAACAAATTTGGATCACACAACATTTTGTCATCAGACCCTCGGAAGCCATTAAACGCAAATGACCTCGGAATATGAAAAAACTTACCTTATTATTAATAGTGTGAGGTCGATCAGCCATAGCCGCTTCTGCCATTTGTACGGTTGCAAACGTCACGAAACCAAATCCTCTAGAGTACTTTGTCTGAGGATCCCTGATAACAATACAGTCCACAACAGTGCCCCATTGTGAATAGTACTGCCGCAGCTGCAGACAAGAATTGATAAGCCAAAGCCAACTGATGAGCAATACCCAAAAATT